CAAGTCTTCTCATGGACCTTACCCACTGAACTTCTACAAATACTCTGGTTAAAAACAAAAAACAAAACAAAACAAAACAAAAAACAGTGGGACTGGGGGTAAGAGGGAAAGGCAAGGATGCTATACAACACTCTGTCCTCGTCAATAGCCAATAACTAAATCATAAACATAGATAACTGTTCTGCTACAAGCTACAATGAGTAGATGGAAGAACTGCATTCTTACTACTAGTTTTAAATGAAGCACCAGTCCAACATCACATCCCAACAATCGTTTCACTACAGCATTTTGGAAACCTCTAAAAGTGAAAAACAGAATAATATAATTTTTACACAAAATGCAATTGCTTTAAAAAACAAAACAAAGTAAAACAAAACCCCAAAGCCCTGCAATCTGAGAACTTCTGTTTACAGTATTTTAAGTTTATGGGTTAAGGATAACTATCCTCACTTCACAAACAAATAAACAAAAAGGAATCTCAAGACCCATCATCATTATCACTATCACAGTCATCAATTATAATAGCAACAGAATAATATGCACTTACTCCAGGCACTACTAAGCTCTTGATATTCACATCTCATTTAATCTTTATAGAGACCTTGTGAGGTAAATGCTATTATTTCCATTTTAGAGATTAGTAAACAGTCTTAGAGAGATCACCTAATTTGCAGAAACTCATAAATGAGGAGTCACAGCAGCAGGATTTGAACTACTGTAATGCTATCCTCTGTTTTTTGAAACACATTCAAATATTTTTCAACCAATGATTTCAGAATACAAGATTACCTAATTATTACTCCTCGAAACCCATAAAAAAAATGTATTGTAAAATCCCCATTCTCTACACAGGAAAGAAAAATAAGACAAAAAGCCACCTGCTTAGGAGTCTCAGAGCTTAACCGTCAGAAAAAGGAAACCGGAATACCAGCTCTCTATCGTTTGAATTCTAACTCTGAGGAAACACAGACTCCTAGCACATATACCTAGGATAGGTGAAAATAACCCCAGTATCTCAGCTAGTAGGCACCAAGGTTAGTGGGGCCGTGTTAGAATCTGAGCTAGGTTATAACGCAAGTAGTGTATGAAAGGCGGGCCAAGACCCAAGCCCTGCTAGAGACAGGCATTAGCTTAGCACTATACCGGAGATACCTGCACCTGTGTGGTGCTGAAGACGGTTCCCACAGAGCAAGAGGGGTTAGACAGGTGTGTCTGTGCGGCGGGGAGGGAAGTGTCCAAATTCTGGTAGACTTTAAAACCCAGAAGAAGTGTAAAACGGAGTCCACAGGTGACGGGGCCCTGATAGCACCTCGTCGTCAGGAAAAGGGCATTAAGAACACCAGTACGCCTCGGACTCGTTTCCAAGGACACCTTCCCCTGTTTATTTCCTCACTCCATCTTCATAAAGCTCATGGCCATGTTTATGATCAAGTTCATAAAGGCATGAATGTGGTCTGAAAATGCGACTGGCCTGGACTTCGGACAGGACAAATCAGGCTATATCTGAAACATGCTTTCTCACATACATCACTTCTGCTAAAGCCCACAACACCGGAAGGCAGACAGGCCGAAGACTCTTCTCTCCATTTATCACACGGGGAAGCCGCGGTCAACCGGCTACGAACGATCGCAGGTCCAGCAGGTGGAAGCCCTGAGACTCCTCCCCACGGGACATCAGACTCCAAATCTTGGGATTCTTCCCTTACTCAACTCCGGAAAACTTTAATCGTCGGACTTCGAGATGTCCAAGGGCCTCCCAAGAAAACCAGGAAGTCCATCCTCCCGCACAGACAGCTCACTCCCAACCCACACCCCCGGGCTCCCGGGCAGCGGAGCAGACTCACTCGAAAGGCCCGCGGCCCGGAAATCGCCCGCAGCCGTGATTGTCTCAGGGTGGCCTCGGCGGCCCACGGTCCCGTACCCCTGGGTCGCCACGGACCCGCTCAGTACCTGTTGAAACCTATAAAATGCACGTCCCCTCCGCACGGAGTATTTGGAGCGAGGGCCCACCACAGGTACGCAGGCCCTGCGAGGGCAAAAGAGCCTCGGGAGGGTCCCCCACTATCCAAGCCCCGCAGGGGTCGAAGGGCGCGAGTTTCCCAGTAACCTTCGCCCCGGGCGGGGGCCCGCCCCACGCGTCACGTGAGGGGGGGAAAATACCGCTAACAAAAGAGGAAGGAAGTTTTGTCCAAGGGGTGAGGGGAGAAGAGGACCCCACGAGCCCCAGCTTGGGGTGCGGAGGGAAGGAGGGACAGGGACACGGAGTTTACCGGGAGCACCGTCGCTCTCCGCTTCCGCCGCCTCCTTGAACCTCTTGCTCTTCCGCTTGTGCCGGTGGGGCAGGCGCCAGGCCTGGACTCCGCCCCCCAGCGCCGCGGGGCTTTCTGGGGGCTGTAGTCTCCGTGAGACCGAGGCCTCGCGGACTGCCTCCCGGTCACGTGGGAGGAGGGGCTGGTGAAATGAAGAGGGTGGGAAGGTGTTTACGCTCTAGTCTGCTCAACCCTTCATACTTCCCCCTTAGTTACAAACGTACTCAGGTCTCTTCACGTCCTACTGGATCTTTACACCCCTCTTCTTTACAGGCAAGTGTCTTGAAAAAAGTAGTCTAAACTCGCTGTCTCCATTTCCTCCTTCGTCCTCTGCGCTGCAGCTTCTGCCGCCACAGAAAACGCCCTTGTTGCCCTCAGTGCCCTTGCCAAACTCATCGGAGGTATTTTCAGGTCCTCTAACTTACCGTATTTCCCCATGTATAAGACGCACCTTTTTTTCAAAAAATTTGGGTTCTAAAAACTGGATGCGTCTTATACAGTGGTTGTAGATTTCAAATGCCATAGATGGAACTGAGGACTAGGCAATATATGAAGACAGTGATTCGTCATCAGACACAGATGAGGACAAGCTAATGGTTGGGAGTTTAGACAGTGATGAGTTGTACGAATTTTATGATGAATAAAACCTGAGTTCAATAACTTTACGTAATACATGTTCTTTCAAATTTCAGGCCCCAAAATTAAGGTGCATCTTATACCTGGGAGCGTCTTATACTTGGGGAAATACGGTAAGTTTTAGGCACCATCTGATGCTGTTGGACAGTATCACTTATTTTCTGACACTAGTCAGGATTTCCTTCTTCCTCTCAGGTCATTCTTCTCAGTCTCCGTCAAGAATTCTTTTTCTAACCCACCTCCTTAATATTAATTAGTGTTCTCCAGAGGTCTTGGTATTGGAGTCAGACAGGGAAGACTCCTGCCCCTTCTCTCTTGAACTTATTCTTTGTATTTCCAACAACTCATGTCCCATACAGGCATCTTAAATGTAGCAACATGAAAAAAATGCTTCACACCCATTGCCAGTGGCTTTACTCAGACCTGGGTTGTTTCTTACCTGATTACCGTATAGGCTTCCTTACTGATCTCAGCACCTTTATCAAATCCTCCCTAAACCCATAAGGCCCATTTATACAAAGGGAAAATTTAATCACGTCACACTTTGGTAAAATCCTTCAAAAGATCCCCTCGATTGAGCTTGGGAAGAGGGAATGGAGGTGAATCCTTCAGGTGGCTTTTGCAACATTAGGAAGCCAGCTCCACGAGTCTCCCCTTCCCACCTCTCATACTGCAGAGGTTCAGAGAAAGGAGATTTATAACAGATCTTATTGTGAGGTAGGTGGGCATGGGCATATTTTAAACGTTCCCCAGGTGATTCAATCATTCAACAAGGATGTAATATTTTGTTGCCTACAATGTATACCAGGCATACTGGTATCCAATATATGCTGGATACTGAGAAAATAATAGTAAACAAGACAATCCTCGCCCTTAGGTGTTTATAGTCTCTTGGAAGAGACAGATATTACTCAAATGATTCCATACCCAAAAACAACAAAACCCCACAATTACCAGCAGTGATAAGAAAGAGACGGGAAATGTAATGTCTCTTTCCCTTTCCCTCTGCCACCTGCCCCAGCACAGTTTATGCTCCTCAGCCTATCAAAAACAGCCTATCAGGAGCTAATCTCCTTCTACTTGCCTCCCTTATACATCTAGATATGCCAAACTCCTGAGTTGCATTTGCTCTCTCACTTTTGCACAAGCTGTCTCGCTATTTGGAAAACACTTCCTGTCTTCCTTTACTAACTTTCACCCTATGTGATTCTCCTCTGTTGCATTCCAAGCAAACCCAGGAGACCAACAGCCGCATGGAAGGATTTTCTGAGAATTGGACTGAGCCAGGTGATAACTCCCAGCCAAGCAAAGGTGAGCTGAGTAGGAGAGCCAGCAACAGTTGAATGTGAGCTAGAGAGCAGGGCTGTGCTACCCAGTTCAGATGTATAGAGCCTGAGCCAACATACCCATCCTCCAATACACAGATCCAGTATCACCTCCTCCAGGAAGCCTTGGCTGTGTTCCCTCTGGATGAACTACTGTTTCTTTCCTGAGTACTCATTGCACCTGTCCCGACCTCCCTTCCAGTGATATGCTAGACCCAGCCAAACCAGCTTTGAAGAGCTAACCGTTAAATACTCAGGAATTTTTAAAGTCAGTTCTTAAACCACTGGTAGTTTAAAAATCAGTTGGGAGGGCGTATTTACACCACCACAGAAAACAGCAAATGACAAACTGGGTGTTTTTGGTTTGTTTTTTTAGAACAGTTTACCAGGACACCACTGTCTTTGTCATACCATGCATCTCTGCATTATATTGTGGTGATTACTCCCCTAGTAGATGAATTCCTTGTAACAACTTCGTTTAGCAAATGTTTATTACTATGTACAGAGACTAGCAACGTGCAGGAGGGGTATATAATGGAGTACAAACAAGCATTGTTCCTACCGTTATGCGCTTACAATCTAGCAGGTAAGACAGAAAATAAACAAAGAACTCTATACTTACAAATTGAACTAGTAGGCTGCTCTGTGATAGAACATTCTGGCATGAGTGGTGATGGACACTACTTTAACAAGGTGGTCCAGGAAGGCCTCTCTGAGGAAGTGACCTTCCCACTGAGCACCAAAGGATGAGAGATAGTCCAGAGAAGAACCAGGCAAAAAGGGTTCCAGCCCTTTTTTCAGAGTGTTCAGACGACACAAAGAAAGAGCTGGGCTGTTTGAAGGACAGAATGGTCAATTTTGCTGGGATGGTGTGATTATTAGTTTTATGTGTCAATTTGACTAGGCCACACGATGCCCAGATTAAACATTATTTCTGGGTGTGTCTTTGAGAATGTTTCCAGATGCGATTAGCATTTGAATTGGTGGAATCAGTCAAGTACAGTTGACACTTAAACAACGCAGGGTTAAAGGTGCCGGCCCCTATACTGTGAAAAATCCACATATAACTTTTCACTCCCCCCAAAACTTAACTCCAGTCATGTCCCTTGTAATCCTCAGGGGATTGGTGCATAATGGCATAGAACAATGCACGTAGTCATTGCCCCACGGATTCCCAAGCAGTGATTGAAAATACTGTTGTTGATCCACAGTTGTTTGAATCCACAGATGTGAAACCCAAGAATAAGGAGAGCTGCCTCTATATTTATTGAAAAAAATCTGCAAGTAAGTGGACCCGTGCTATTCAAACCCATGTTGTTCAAAAGTCAACTGTAGATTACTCTCACTCTGATGTGGGTAGGCATCATTCCCGCTGCTGAGGCCTGAACAGAATAAAAATTAGGAGAAGGGAGGATGCAGTCCCTTGTCTGTGTAAGCTGGGACATTGGTGTGTTGGTCTTCTCCTGCCTTTGGGCTGGGATTTACCCCAATTGGCTCAGGCCTTCCAACTCAGGCTGGAAAGCTCACCACCAGCTTTCCTGGGCTTCCAGCTTGCAGACAGCAGGTCATGGGACTTCTTAGCCTCCATAATTGCATAAGCCAATTCTTCACAATAAATTTCCTTTTATATATACATAGATACATACATACGTACATATACAGAATGTATATCATCTATATGTATATATATACACATACACACACATATATACATATATAGGATATATCATATATACAGAGGGTGCTGAAAAAAGTATACACATTTTAAGGAAGGAAAAAACTGTATTAAAATTTTAATACTCAATATATACCGATAAAAAAGATGAGTACAAGTAATGTGTATACATTTTTTTGGCACCCCTGGTACAAATATAAGCTATATACATATCTAGGATATATATCCTATTTAGATGTGCATATGTAGGATGCACACACACACACACACAAACACACACACACACACAGAGGAAACATATATATATCCTATTGGTCTGTATCTCTGGAGAGTCCTGACTAATACAGATCGCAAGGGTGTGAATTAAGTGATCCATATGACATGATGAGGTAACTAGGGCCAGGTGTGCACAGCCTAAAAGCCATGGCGAGGACCCTAGATTAAATTATAGCTACCAAGGGGGTGGTGTTATCTGACTCACATTTTAATACAATCACTCTTGCTTTTGTTTGCAGGACTGGAGTAGAAGTGGGAGTCCATTTGTTGCCGTAGCCCAGGTAAGGAATAATGAAACAAAGTATTGGCACTAAAATTTAACAAATACTTTGCAGATTGAGTCAATAGGACTTGCTGATGATTGAATGTAGGGGAGATGGACTGGTGAAGGAAAGAGGATCCAAGGGCAGCAGTCGTTTACTTTCACCTCCATATCTTCAGCCCCTAGAATAGGGCCTGGCATGTAGTAGGTGTGTAATAACTGTGTTGAGTGAATGTATCCATTCACTGTGCTAAACTCTGTGCCCTGTCACTGTCCCCTTGCTTCATTCATACAGGGCCTCCACTAGTCCATATAGTACCTTTGTGCAGATTAGATAAAAAGTACCTCTTCCTCCAGGGGGACATGGCCCATTACCAGGGTACACAGACTGGTAAATGAACATGGGCTGTGTTTCAGCCCCCATTTACCCCCTCAGCTGGCACTCTTGTGCACTGCACAGTCTGTATAACCACATACAGCAGCCCCAGTTTAATATCCCCGGGAGGTGGTTTTGTGGCATTGAACCCAGTATGCATGGGGAGAATTTGAGGTCCAGGGGAAGGAAACTGTCTGCTTGGGGTCACTGGAGCTGCTGTTGTGACTGAGATTCAAACCTTTACCCTCTGAATCCCTGTGGGCTCTTTAGCCTTGGAGCCACATTGTCTCTCCCAGATCACTCAGCCCATCAATAAAAAGCTAAATTCAAAATGGTGACTTTGCTTCCTTGAGTTTCTCATCTGTCTCAGTTACTATTGTTAGAGTATTTCACATTTACATAGTATCCAATATGTGCTCCTCCGTCCCTTACAAAATACAATAAAGGAACATGAAACCAAAGGATCTTTTTTTTAAAAACAGAATAAATAAGGGATGGCTGGTTTAAAGGGCCCTTAGCTCTTGGATTAAGATGAACTGTGGTGTATTGGTTTAAAGTGATGTGATAAGCGATACAGGAAAAAAAAATGCTCCTGTACAAGCTGTTTTTCCTTTGCACCTCCGACCAAAACAGGAGGAGATTTGGGAACTGCCTGCTTCAGAAATGTAAACTAGGGAGATCGTTGGGAGTCAGGACATAAGGAGAAGAGAGAAATGTCCTAGAAGAGGAAAAGGATTCCCCCTTCAATAAACAAGAGCATTTAACAAGTGCTTACTGTGTGCCAGGAGCTGTGCTAAGCTCTTTACATGCCCCATCTACATTAATCCTCGCTCAACTCTACAAGGTACAATCTATCATTACCATCATTTTACACTGGAGAAAGCTGAGGCCCAAGGCTATGCAGCTAATAACTGACAAACCTGAGATTTGAGCCAAGACAGTCTGCCTGTAGAGTCTGAGCTCTCAGCCACTAAATTATACTGCCTCTCATTCAGATGTTCCTGGTGCCAGGTCCCCTGTTTTAATAATGTGACCCTTCAGAGTCCTAAGATAATTAACAGAGGCTATCTGGTTCTCAGACTCTTAGGGATTCCATGTCGCCTGTCTGCTCAATAATTATAGCATGGTCATTCCCAGCCTTGCTTCAAACTAAACAATTTGAACAAGGCATATATAAGAGAAAAATCCTGCTGGGGGACATTTCACAATCTCCTTGGAGTTTTAATATCCTCCCAATATAATACCATAATTACCCAGATGGCATGGAAGATGGAGGAGAAAATGTTATCAAGAGAGAGGGACTAAATGAGCGAGGCTACCCCTTGGAAATGTGCACCCTGGTTGGTCCCTCCTAACTTGAAGTTTCTTTTCTTTTGTGACTGTCAGCCAATAAGCACAGAAAGATCCAAATTTTATAGAACTTTTGGGTACTTGGATCCTTCCCTGATAAAGTGCTACTATCTGGAATTATATGGGTCTTTGGCATCAACTGGAGGAAATATAAGACATTTTAGGACAATAGGAGGGCCAGGTATCCATGGACAGCTCCCATAACTCATGAGGAGAAGCAGGACAGAGATCTCTGATGAGCAGCAATGACTCCAGACCCCCCAGGACTAAATCAAGAGCCCAGGAAACGCTCCCAACTCTAATAAAGCTACCTTAAAAAGGGCATGGCCACTATTATTGTTTTGGTTGACTCTCTGAGCTCTGGGGTCACAGCATTTGATTCTCTTAACTAGATGTGAGCTGTTTAGCACCCCCACCCCCACCATCACACACATACTCCCCCTCATTACCTTTCCTGCACCACCACTGTTCTATCCACTTCTTGACCTCAAGGCTTGTAGGGCTAAACTATCTAATGCCACAATGCCCGTTTGGAGGGAAAGGTTTGGTGATATTATGCCCATACTCATCATGATCTGAGGACAACTTGACTCCTTAGAGCGATAACTGAGAAACAGCCTAGTAACATCTGCCACTTAGAATTTCACAGCTCAGCTCTGACTGAGCCAGCGAGATATTTAGAGCTGGGCATTTGGGTTCCAACATGGCATCATCTATGGCCTGATTTTGACATCCTCAACACCTACCTCAGGATGTGCAGCAAGCCACACCTCTCATTCCAAGGTGCTACCAGGAGCCACTGGCATGTATCCAAGGCTGTGCTGAGTGCCAACCTAGAAAGCAAGGTGGTGTATGCAAGGGAACGAGATTGAGACCAGGACCTGGACATTTCCTTCTATTATGAAGCATAAAACCTTGGATCATTCACTAAACCTTGGATTCCTCATCTGTAAAATGGAGGCCCACCGAGGTCACCCACCTCACTGGGTAATCATGAGGATTAAGTCATATAATGGATGGGAAACAGTCTGGCAAACTATAAAAGGCTAACAAGAAAAAGGGGCATACACGCTACACAAAGTTTTGCTCACAAAGGACAGAGATGAGTAGGGAACAAACAGATATTTGAAACTGTGATGTTAATTCTCTTTTCCCTTAGGAGAGTAGTAGAGGCACAGTGGCAGTTCTTCAAAGCTTTCTTCCCAGCACACAATTCCTGGTCCCATCCCTTCCTCACGGTCCCATAGCACTCAGAAAGTCACGATCCCTTATCAACAGCACCTAACACAGTGGAGCCTTGCATAGGGTAGAAAATTGCGAAATATTTGTAAACCATCATCTCTTCTATTCAACAACAGAACATCCAGAATTTGGCTAGACGTGTCCCAAAGATTTACATTCTCAAGAATACCCTAGAATTTGTAACTCAGTCCCTCATCTAGTGCAAGGGGCGCCCGAATCAGGCCATTTCACTGAAGCAATTCATGAAGCCAAACTCAAGGCAGACAGAACTTCTTGTTTTACTCCACACTACCACGTTATTTCACACCTCGTTTCCTTTGTACATGCTCTCCCCTCTGCCTGGAATGCCTTTCTCTTCTTCCTCCACCTCCATCAGGATCCAACCCATGTCACCTCCACAAAACATCCCCAACTTCCCTGGACTAACCAGTCACTTCTGCCTCGTCCCTCTCCCGATGAGCTCTCAGAACCCGGGGTCATAGGGCTCTCACCCAATCATAATTATTTGTGTGTGTCTCTACCCCACCATGGAGAGTGTTATAACTAAGTACAGTGCATGGTACACGGGCCCCACACTTGTTTATTGGATGAACTAGCCCTCTCTGTGGTCCTTTTAGGCAGAGCTGGGGATGGAGAACCAAGGGTAAAATCAGAGGAAATCAACAACTTTCGTTTACACTGTCATTCCTCAAGAACGTGTTGCAGACAGCCCCACCACCCTGATTCCTTGACCTCCAGAAATACTCTTGCAAAGCTTATGATGAGTTGCCTGGGAGTCATCAGAACTTTGCAAAGAGTAATTCCACTTGATCTGGTCCCTCTACCCACCAGCAGGCTGATTCATAGTAGGTGAAGATCTGAAGCTAAATAGCTTGGGTTTAAACCCTGGCTCTACCAATTACTAGCTGTGCAACTTTAAGCAAGTTACTTTATCTTTCTGTGCCTCGGTTTTCTGAGGCATAAAATAGTAACAGTAGTGACATCACAGAAGGTGGGCAAGGGTTGTGAGAACTAAACGATGTGTTCTGTGTAAAGTGCCCAGCTCCAGGCACCTAACAAGTGCTTCATAATGGTAGCTGGTTTGCAAGTAGCCCAGCCGTAAAGATAGCACGTAAATCTTCAGAAGGCTGGGTTTGTTCCCTCCTGGGCAGGGAGGGGCGTCAGGGCAGCTCTGGAGTTCTGTCTGGAGGTTCAGACAACTGGTGTCATCGACTTTTGCTTCTCATCTGGATCCATCGCTCCCCAGCTAAGGCCCTTGCTTAAGTAGCTTCTTTTCCCAAAGCCTGATGTCCCCAGTAGGGCCAGCAGTACTGAGCTGTCTTACAAGGGGGTGCCGGAAAGATCAATTCATGTTAGCAAAGTGCTTTGGAAATATAACATGCTAAATATTAATGGGTCTCTCTGAGTGTCGGGAAATGTGCAACCTGAACTCTGCTCAGGGCAAGCTGAAGGTGGGGAGAGCAATTCTGGGCAGCCTGATTGCCACATCCTTGGCCTAATTTGGGAGGTGGTGCTGATGAAGGCGGAGTGAGTGCCACGAGCATCTGGGGGCTGGGCAGGGCTGTGGAATGGCAGCTCTGGAAAGCAGAGTGTTCTGAGGATGCCCCTAATCCTAATCCACAAATAGGCAGAGACCTTGGGTGGGTTTGGGGAGAGCCCAGAAAAGTCCTCAGATTTTCTTTAGAAAAAAACAAACGCAAACTCACTGCTTGCTGTTCCCTCTCTCATTTCTCAATTCTGCAGAGGATAGCACTTTGAGGATGTCAGCCACCTGAGTTCTTATCCTGCTCTCAGCTTCCCAAACCACATGTAGGGTGATTAGCAGAAATTGGTTTTAACTTTAGCCAAAACTCTCAGTTCAAAATCTTTAGAGTGGCCAGACACTAGGGACTCTGCCCGTGCTGCTGCTGAACAGGTCTGGAGTAAGTCGTCCCTCAGGACACTGCTCAACTGTCACCTCTTCCAGGAAGACTTCTTGGACCCAACCAGGTTGAGCTGGGAGCTCCTCTTTGGGGGCTTCCACAGTGCCCTGTGCTTGTTCCTATAAATGCATGTAACAGACACTGTCAGCGCTCTGTCCACATCCTCTTGGCACCATTCACTTCCTAAACACCCATGGCCACACATGTGCCCAGCCAGAAGTCAGGGCAGGCCAGGAGGGGGGAGTTAACGGGCAGTTTTCAAATTGTCCCCCTCAGATGGGACAACACTAAGACAGCTTCTGCACTAGATCTGAGAAATTCCCAGGGGGATTGAGCCCCAGATGCCCATAGCAATAACCTGCTCCTTAATACACCCTGTTTTGGCTTCTTTTCTCTGTCTGTCTCAGCTTCTCACTCCTCTCTTGGCACTTCCTGGGATCACTGCCTGGGGACCGCTCTTGAAGCACCCAGCCTAAGACACTGCACTTCCCCTGCAGTAGAAGAGTTATCTGTTTGTGCCTCTCATCCTCAGCAGACATAAGCAACTTAAGGGGAGAGACTGTGTCTACTTCATCGTTTTAGCCTCAGTGTTTTGTGTCGTGCCTGGAACATAAGTGCTCAGTAAATATTTGTGGAATGAATGGATGAGTCAAGTGTTGGGCCAAAGGATGATGTTCGTAATAATATCTGACACTTACTGAGCTCTTCTATAAGGCTCCCTCACTATTCTCAATATCAACCCAGGACCAAGGAATCCTGTCTCAAAGATTAGGAGAAAAACAAATATG